TAAATATAATATAAATCATCAAAGGTACATATACAGTGTTTAATAAGGACATGGTGTTCCATCATGTCCTTATTAAACACTGTATATGTACCTTGATTTATACTATATATATTTTATGATATACTCTAAATCTTCTTGATGTTGTAAATATATATATACATGTATATATACATATATATATACACAAATATGTACATATATATTTGTATAAATAAATTGATAAATAATAACTGTATGTATATACTTATATATACATACATAACATAGGATATTCAGTATTAGCTGCTAAGGTGTTCAATACAATACATGTAAATACATATACATATATACATACACACACACAAAACCAAGGCACAAGTCCAAAGGACATGAAATAGGAATATCCTGAGGTGAGCTAAATTAATGTTGAGTGGGGCCCTTTCTGAAAAAAAGAGTAAATAAATAATTTTAAAAAAAACAACTACTTTACAATATATAGATGAAACATTTAAAGTATGAAATTTAAAAAAATACCAATCATAATTCAAAATTTTGGCATTTAAAGTATTAAAATCTTCTGATGATGCAGTGAAATTGTCAGAAATGTAATATGTTAACTTTGTGTTTCTTGTAGAAAGTTCATATCCCGCGAGTTGGTCCTCATGGTGGAATAACTTAGGTAAGTATAGTATTATCAAATCTTGTTATGTACAAAAGGTTATTTAGATTTTAAAAATATATAAGCCTGTAAATTATCTTTGTTAAGCTACTAAACTATATATATATAGTTTATTTTTATTTTTTCTCATTCATTATTGAATTTTTTAAATTAATATCTTCTCTCAGTTTGTATCTTTGATTGCATTATGTTGTTTTGATCTTGATTTTACTTGTTTGCCTTGGAGGTCCCTCGGTGCCGGTAGTGTTTTACACTTTTGGTTGAAGATATTTATGTTGTATTTGTGCGTATCACTGCTAATAAATATTATTTATCTATTTATTATTACTGTATTTTATTTACGGTGCATGCTACGTGACAAACCCAATTTGAATAGTACAGTATGATTTCCGAGCTGCGACCAATAAGCTTTTCTTAAACACAGTTCCACTTACTGTACGTCATTCCTCTAGCCCTATCTCACCTATTTCTAGCTGATTACTTACCTTTACCTATTAGATGTTACATTCGTTTTATATTATTGATTTGTCCCGAAAACATTAAAATTTACCAAAACAAAAAGAAAGCAAGGAACAAGCCCAAAGACCATGAGATAGGAACAGCCTAAGGTGAATTAAATTACTATTAAGTGGGGTTCTTTCTAAAAAAAAAAGGAGGAGAAAAAGAAACAATTGCTTACAATATATATTAAAATATTATATATTAAAATGTTGTAAAATAGAATGTAACAAGTGTAACATTTTCAATTGTGTTTTTATAGGCGGTTACTCATTCAGCTACCCCGGTAAGTATAATACTATAAAATCTTCTGATGTACAAAACTTTATTCAGATTTTTAAAACTACTGCCACTGAAACTACAACAATAAACGTAATATTTGAATTGCTTAATCTGAAATTTTGTTTTAAAGCCTGACGTTAGAGAAAAAGAACTACTCTATCGTAAAACAAAACGCTCACCAGATGGGGGTTCACTTAACGATATGGTCATATATAACATATAATGTATTGTATTATTCAACTTATTTATTTTTTCCTGTTTATTATTGAACTTTTTAAAATTAATATCTTCTGATTTTTGTATCTTTGATTGCATTATGTTGTTTTGATCTTATTTCTACTTGCTTTGGGGATCACTCATAGTGTTCTACACTTTTGGTTGAAGGGCTTTATGTTTTATTTTTCTTTATCCTGAAATGTAATAAATATAATAAATAAATATGGCGTGATTCAATATGTACGTGTCACTAGGATGAGATCAAACAATCGCTAAATAAAAAGTAAATTCGATTGTGATTCAATAAATTCGATTATGAAGAAAAATCAATTTCTTAACTAAAAGAGTTAGAGAAAACCAAGCAGCCGTCAGATTAGTAACATTTGATTGATGAAACTTTCAAATAAAAAATCATGAAATAATACTCGCTTTAATAGCAAGAGGTCACCGGTTCGAATCCTGCCAGAGACATTTTTTCTCATAACATATAATAAGGAATTTTTCATTGAAGGGCTATGCTTAAAAAGATTATCATGTTTCTATTCGAGCACTGCTAATATTATTTATCTATTTATTATTACTGTATTGTATTTACGGTGCATGCTACGTGACAAACCTAATTTGAATAGTATTTAATGATTTCCGAGCTGCGACCAATAAGCTTTTCTTAACCACAGTTCCACTATGTGTGAGCGTTTCAGAAAGTTCTTGTGGGTTAGATATGTGTGTATACCATAAGGTCTCAAAAGTCTAATGGTATGATACTCGACTTAATAGCGAGAGGTTATAATTTCGAATCCCGCCAAAGATATTCTTCTTTTTAATACAACTGACAACAAAGAACTGTTCGTTGAAGGGTTATGATTGATACGATTATTTATTTATACATAGGTATATTATTGTATATATACATATGTACATATATATTTGTATAAATAAATTGATAAATAATAACTGTATGTATATACTTATATATACATACATAACATAGGATATTCAGTATTAGCTGCTTCCATCTCAATCAACGCCAACGGTGTACAGATGCTGTGACACTAACACATTTTAAACATGAAATTTAGGCGTAATAGTAGCAACATTTCGAAAAAAATATTTCACTAGTATTCTTCTATGATCATTATTAAACACCAAGATACAAATATTTAATGAAATACTTTAAACGTAATATTTGAATTGCTTAATCTGAAATTTTGTTTTAAAGACTGACGGTAGAGAATAAGTAACTACTCTATATGGTCATACATAACTTATAATGTATTGTATTATTCAACTTATTTATTTTTTCCTGTTTATTATTGAACTTTTAAAAATTAATATCTTCTCATTTTTGTATCTTTGATTGCATTATGTTGTTTTGATCTTATTTCTACTTGCTTTGAGGATCCCTCATAGTGTTCTACACTTTTGGCTGAAGGGCTTTATGTTGTATTTTTCTTTATCCTGAAATGTAATAAATATAATAAATAAATATGACGTGATTCAATATGTACGTGTCACTAAGATGAGATCAAACAGTCGCTAAATAAAAAGTAAATTCGATTGTGATTCAATGAATTCGATTATGATGAAAAATCAATTTCTTAGCTAAAAGAGTTAGAGAAAACCAAGCAGCCGTCAGATTAGTAACATTTGATTGATGAAACTTTCAAATAAAAAATCATGAAATAATACTCGCTTTAATAGCAAGAGGTCACCGGTTCGAATCCTGCCAGAGACACTTTTTCTCATAACATATAATAAGTAAGTTTTCATTGAAGGGCTATGCTTGAAAAGATTATCATGTTTCTATTCGAGCACTACTAATATTATTTATCTATTTATTATTACTGTATTGTATTTACGGTGCATGCTACGTGACAAACCTAATTTGAATAGTATTTAATGATTTCCGAGCTGCGACCAATAAGCTTTTCTTAAACACAGTTCCACTATGTGTGAGCGTTTCAGAAAGTTCTTGTGGGTTAGATCTGTGTGTATACTATAAGGTCTCAAAAGTCTAATGGTATGATACTCGACTTAATAGCGAGAGGTTATAAGTTCGAATCCCGCCAAAGATATTCTTTTTTCATACAACTGAAAATAAGGAACTGTTCGTTGAAGGGTTATGATTGATACGATTATTTATTTATACCTAGGTATATTATTGTATATATACATATGTACATATATATTTGTATAAATAAATTGATAAATAATAACCGTATATATATACTTATATATACATATATATAAATACATAACATAGGATATTCAGTATTAGCTGCTAAGGTGTTCAATACAATACATGTAAATACATATACATATATACATACACACACACACACACCAGAACAAAAAGCAAGGCACAAGTCCAAAGGAAATAAAATAGGAACATCCTAAGGTGAGCTAAATTAATGTTGAGTGGGGCCCTTTCTAAAAAAAAAAAAAAGAGTAAATAAATAAAAATAAAAAAAACAACTACTTACAATATATAGATGAAACATTTAAAGTGAGAAATTTAAAAAAAAATACCAATCATAATTCAAGATTTTGGCATTTAAAGTTTTAAAATCTTCTGATGATGCAGTGAAATTGTCAGAAATGTAATATGTTAACTTTGTGTTTCTTGTAGAAAGTTCATATCCCGCGAGTTGGTCCTCATGGTGGAATAACTTAGGTAAGTATAATATTATCAAATCTTGTTATATACAAAAGGTTATTTAGATTTTTAAAATATATAGGCCTATAAATTATCTTTGTTAAGCTACTAAACTATATATATATATATATATATATATATATATACTGTATATATATACTGTATTATATATATATATATTATATATATATATATATATATATAAGATATGAATAGTTAATTTCATGGGGAAATTATAATGTATGTTTGAAATATATGTTATTATTATAGTGTATACATAAATGTATATTAATTACGGTATATTGTTATATATCAGCAATTTGTTTTTCTATATAACATAGGCCTATATATATATATCAATTTTATGATAGAGATAAACTCTAAATCATCTTGATTTTGTAGATATATAATACATATATATATATACATATGTATATATGTATATATATATATATCTACATCAAGATGATTTAGAGTTTATCTCTATCATAAAATTGATATATATATATATATAGGCCTATGTTATATAGAAAAGAAATTGCTGATATATAACAATATAATTAATATACATTTATATATACACTATAATAATAACAAATATTTCAAACATACATTATAATTTATGTAGATGTATATACATACACATATATATATATAAATATATATAAGATTTTAATGTGATATACACAAATGTATACATATACATACACACACATATATATATACCTATATATATATATATATATACCTATATATATGTATATAATATATACATATATATATATACATATATAATAATAATATTAATAATAATAATAATAATAATAGAAAGGTATGTCAAGCGTGAATTTACTCTACAACTGTTTCATGCAGTAGCAATCTTCAGGAGTGGGTTGATAGGGAGATAATGGAGGTACATATGAGGTTCAGCAGGTGTATATGGTAATTGTGTTGCGTATTCTTGAGTAGGGATTTGTTTCTGTGTCTGCATTTTGAAAGCATCTATGTTCTTTTGTTTAAAGTTGATGGTTTGTTTGAATAAATTATGCGAATTAAAGGCAGAGATTGCAGCGTTTTGTTTGTGTACTGTATCGCGTAGCTTTGTCAATTATGGACCATTTAATGTTGAATTGGGTGTTGCTTTCTTTAAGTTTTCATACATGTTTTGATAATTCGTTGCTGTTCTTATGCTTCGGAGAGCTAAATGTGTGCTTATGATTTGTAACTCTGGTTTTGAAGGTGTTGTCTGTCAGTCCGATGTACTCTTTGACGTCATCATTTGTGGTTACGGTGGCTTTGTAGATAATTGAAGATGCGAGGCAATTTCCTGAGAGGGGGCATTCATCTTCTTCTGGCAGTTGCATGTATTAGGGGTTCTTGTGGTTTGGTGCGAAGAATTCTGCTTTTGTGGGACTGAATAATGTTACCCATTCTTCTAGAAAAGCTATAGCTAACTTTGACATTATTTTGTTGAATAGCTTGTGAAGTGTACTGCCTACAGGAAAGCGTTTTTTAACCAAGTTCTGGAAGGATCTGCCGATGTCGGTTTTCACAGCTTTGTCACTCAATCCTGAAGATTGCTACTGTATGTAGACAGCTGTAGAGTAAATTCACGCTTGACATACCTTTCTAATTTTATTATTATTATTGTACTCTGCATTCGCATTGAGCACTATACGTCGCTGATCTTGACAATAATATTTTGTATAGGCCTTTATACATATACCTTTATACTGTCTCTTATACACATCTTAACAATTATCCAGGATAAAGCCAACAGTTGGCAATTGTACTATAATGTATGTCCGTCATTAACGTTATTGACAACCTTTTTGACAGATGCACAAAGACCTCTCTATAGTATAATTTATGTTCGTCCCTGCCAAACTCTCTTCATGTCCATTCGCTGGAATGTGACCCTCACCGTATCACATACCCTCCTTGTTCCTATGAACTTCCTCACAAGGTGGGTCACTGCACTTGTTAATGGGAAGTCCAACTTTGATACACCTCGGCATATTTTAGGATTTTATCAGTTGAGTACTTGGTTTCAATTCGAAGACAACGCAATAAAGACGCTGGCTGGAAATATAGATTTTTGTGTATTGTTTCTTAAAATTTGTACGATCGAACCGTGAACCAGTGGGTTACATTTGGTGCCGTGACCAGTCGTACAAATGGATTACACAATGTTGGATATGGAGTCGGAGCCACATTCGCCACCGATGCCAAGTTTAAGCAATCAGGTTGAAACTCACATACATGACTTGTCGGACCAGCAACCGGGCCCAGTGGGGCCTCATAGCTGGTATGTTCCTTACCATCAATTGAAGGGAGTGCCTATCTTCACTGGTGCTACCGGCGGTGTTTTGGTGGAGGATTGGATTCGGGAAGTACGATACAGACTCGATGCTAGCACAATGCCCTCACACTTACAATTCTCAACAATCGTGAGAAACCTAGGGGGAGCCGCTAGAAAGTCGGTTTTGAATATCCCAAGAACATCAGCACCCCGCTGTCGCATTTAGTGTCAGAACTTCTTAAACAATTTGGTGAGGAGTATATAGAAGACCCCCTCAGCTTATTCTACTCTAGAGTACAAAAGCCAACTGTAGCTGGCTCTGTATTTGCCATTGAACTAGAGGACGTAGTATTTCAACGGCTGAAGAGAGACTGCATCGGAATATTGAGGACAGGGACCGGACTTTAATACAACAGTTTATTAGAGGGGTCCACGATTCAAAACTTAAAAGCAGAATTTCGGCCATGCGTCCGAATTTTGGAAACTACAAAACTTTAATAACAGAGACCCGTCGGTTTGAACGACAACAAAAAGATGAAGCCTCCCGATCTAAACCCATTTGTAATGCGATGGCACCCAAGACTGAAATTGATTAGCTGAAGAGGACAATAAAAAACTTATGTAGGGTACTGTATTTTGCAACCAGAAAATGCAATTTTAATCCTTCGCGCTGCGGCCTTGATTCCCTTATCAGCTACACATGAGTCACCCTTTGGAATATTGCATTATACTGGGTACAGAGAATTATAGGCTCAGGAATAATATCTTACCAGCAGCCAACACGGGCAGCTGTAGTGACCATCTTGATAGCGTTTAAAATCTAACAAAATAATATACATAAGCAAATCATTAAAAAAAAACACCTAACCAATCACAAATCTTCCTACTGCACATCAACACGGCTTTAATTATAATGTTATCAATAAACTGTTACTCTGTCTAGAAAATGGTACGATCCATCTCAATCAACGCCAACGGTGTACAGATGCTGTGACACCAACACATTTTAAACATGAAATTTAGGCGTAATAGTAGCAACATTTCGAAAAAAATATTTCAATAGTATTCTTCTATGATCATTATTAAACACCAAGATACAAATATTTAATGAAATACTTTAATGAATTATTCGATTTTCTGACAAAACGTTTGGAGGTTTCACCTAAACTATAGCGCTCGCCTATCCTGGCTGAATGCAAAATGCGTCTATGGAAAACCGACTACAGTATTCGGACCCTCCATTTTATACGGTAATTTGTAAAATGACAGGCCCTTTTTTCAACCAATCAAAAAACCTTACATCAAAATAATCTATGAATAATAATGTTTCTTTCTAGCAAGTGTACAAGAAGCCTTTCTTATGGTGAATGCTCAACAAAGCGATTTGAGGACAACAGAACCCTCTGAAAATCGATAAAAATGGCCTATTACACGGGCTCCGGTCATTGTCTTACGAAAAATGCAAAATGACAGGGACTTTTTAAGCTTTTAAAATTCAAATAAAACAACAAGTTGCCTAAATAACTGAACTATAACATATCAAAAGTACAGAATTATCTGACAACAGGTAGCAGAGAACGGACGATGTAAACACAAAAATTGGCCATTTAACCCGAAAATACCAGCCTGCGGACAGCGTGCCTCCCGCTGTGCCAGTAGCTTGGTCGAAAATGTTGATCATAAGATCCATATTTTACAACGAGTAGGACATAATATATGAACAGACACAACCACGAAACCCAGTAGTATGCCACAGGTGTAACCGAATAGGACACATCCAACGATTTTGTCATGAACCACAGCGTCGACAACAGCAGTGCAACACACATCAGGCCCAACAATAGTGTGCTAACGATGTTGGAAACCTGGACACACCCAGAGATTTTGTCAACACCTCTGAACAACTTCCAAAAAACGAAAGCACGCCGCCACAGAGGTAAATCCCCTGGGCGACAGGAAATATCGTACTTGTTCGCCAAGAATTGGATCACCGAGCATTGTAACCATCAATATTAATGGAAAACCTACAAAATTCAAAGTCTTACTAGACACAGGTTCACAAGTCACAACAATCACAAAAGGAATCTATGATTCTATATCATGTAAGTACCCTATATTCATACCATGTGACGTTGAAATTTTGACAGCCAACGGGCAGCCTTTGAAATATCTCGGAACTACATCCATAGACATAACCATAAAAAAACCGAATTTTTAAGCAAGTTTCCAGTGTTTGTTACTCCCCACAAATTTCTGAGACCGCCTTTTCCACCCCTACTGGACTGTTCGAATTTCGCCGCATGTCATTTGGTCTTCAAAATGCCCCCGCCACATTTCAGAGACTTATGATGGCATGTTTAGGTGATCAACATTTTTCTTCATTTATTTGGACGATGTTATTATATTTTCAGATTCATTTGCTCAACACCAGCGCCTAGACCTTGTACTTAGACTTAAAACAAATTAACTCAAAATTAGGCCCAGTAAGTGTTCCTTCATGCAAAAGACAGTGCAGTACCTTGGCCATGTCATCTCGGAGGCAGGTATTTCGACCGAGCCAGAAAAAAATTCCAAAAGTCGCAGACTGGCCTACGCCGAGCAATGCAAAAGCGGTTCTCAGTTTCCTTGGCTACTACCGTCGAATTATACACGGGTATTCAACGATCGCCGCCCCGCTTTTTGCGTGAACATCAAGCAGTCCCAAGTCCAAAAAAGGGGGAAGGAAGTCAAATAAAAGCTACACGTCTCTTATTGATTTTGTTTGGACTGAGGAATGTCATAAAGCGTTCAATACAATCAAGACTAGACTAACAGATGCACCACTTTTAGCCTACAGACTACTCACAACCTTTTGATTTGGAAACGGATGTGTCTAGCTCAAGACTTAGGTGTGTTTTGTCGCAAGTACAGGTTGGAATACCTCGATACGAGTAATAGCATATGGCAGTCGTGGACTTAAACCATCTGAGACCCGCTATCCGGCACACAATATCGAATTCTTAGCGCTGAAGTGGGCTGTGACAAATAAATTTAGACGATATCTTCTTGGTTCTTCATTTAAACTGATAACAACCCATTAGTATGTCTTAACAACAGCAAAGCATGATGCTATGGGAGAGCGATGGGTAGCTGACCTTAGCCAATTTAACTTTTCTATTACTTACCGGCCTGGAAATCAGAACGGGGCTTCCGACGCCCTATCTAGGAAAGTTAACAAGGATATACCATCCAGAATTATTGAGGTTAAGGATGTTTCTGCATTATTATCTGGTAGTTCAACTGAGATTAACGACCTTTTTCTGTGTCCCGACTATGTTCTACTTACTCAATGTTATTATAATCTATTAACGAGGAGCACCGCCAAGCCTACAAAAACTGATTGCACTGATTCGCCCGGAACTTCGCCTGACCCCACCCAATCATTCTCAACCGACGAACTGTCTAAAATGCAACATGACGATAGTATTATTGCTCCCGGGTAATTAATTACCAATCACGCGGGACGAAACCATCACCGGGAGAGCGAATACGCGAGCCACATCGAGTCTTTAATCTCAAACAGTGGGACAGCTTTGCCTGGATGGACAGTGCTTTATATCGCAAAGTCACGATAAACGGTAAAGACCAATATCAACTTGTTCTTCCACAATCCCAGACAAATATTGTCTTGGAAAATCTACATGACAAAGTTGGACATTTGGGTTATGATAGAACATTAGACTTAGTTAGAACACGTTTTTATTGGCCAAATATGGCCGTTGATGTTAAATCATATTGTGTCTCATATAAGCGCTGCTGCCTAACTAAACCCTCTCCTCCCTCATTGAAAGCCCCCATGATACCAATTTACACAACTGAACCAATGGAACTAGTTTGTATAGATTTTCTAAAATTAGAAAAATTCCAGGGTGGTTTTGAAAATGTTTTAGTTGTAACCGACCACTATACAAAGTAGGCTATATATATACTGTCTCTTATACACATCTAGATGTGTATAAGAGACAGAAATTAGGCCCAGTAAGTGTTCCTT